CATTCTGTATGTGTGAAACTGATTGTTCCTTCCTAAGTGGAGCACTTTGCATTTCTCTTTATTAAACTTCATAATGTTTACCTCAGACCATTTCTCCAATTTGTCCAGATCATTTTGAATTATGACCCTATCCTCCAGAGCAGTCGCAACCCCTCCCCACTTGGTATCATCTGCAAACTTAATCAGTGTCCTCTCTATGCCGATATCTACATCGGTGATGAAGATATTGAACAGAGCCAGTCCCAAAACAGACCCCTGTGGAACCCCACTTGTTATACCTTTCCAGCAGGATTGTGAACCATTAATAACTACTCACGGGGAATGGTTATCCAGCCAGTTATGCACCCACCTTATAATAGCCCCATCTAAGTTGTATTTGCCTAGTTTATTGATAAGAATATCATGCGAGACCGTATCAAACGCCTTACTAAAGTCTAGGTATACCACATCCACCGCTTCTCCCTTATCCACAAGACTCGTTATCCTATCAAAGAAAGCTATCAGATTGGTTTGACATGATTTGTTCTTTACAAATCCATGCTGGCTGTTCCCTATCACCTTGCCACCTTCCAAGTGTTTGCAGATGATTTCCTTAATTACCTGCTCCATTATCTTTCCTGGCACAGAAGTTTAACTGACTGGTCTGTAGTTTCCTGTGTTGTTTTTATTTCCCTTTTTATAGACAGGCACTAGATTTACCCTTTTCCAATCTTCTGAAATCTCTCCTGTCTCCCATGATTTGCCAAAGATGATAGCTAGAGGCTCAGATACCTCCTCTATCAGCTCCTTGAGTATTCTAGGATGCATTTCATCAGGTCCTGGTGACTTACAGACATCTAACTTTTCTAAGTGATTTTTAACTTGTTCTTTTTTTATTTTATCTTCTAAACCTCCCCCCTTCCCACCAGCATTCGCTATGTCAGGCATTCCTTCATCAGACTTCTCGGTGAAGACCGAAACAAAGAAGTCATTAAGCATCTCTGCCATTTCCAAACTTCACGTTACTGTTTCTCCCTCCTCACTGAGCAGTGGGCCTACCCTGTCCTTAGTCTTCCTCTGGCTTCTAATATGTTTATAGAATGTCTTCTTGTTTCCCTTTATGCCTGTAGCTAGTTTGAGCTTGTTTTGTGCCTTTGCCTTTCTAATCTTGCCCCTGCATTCCTGTGCTGTTTGCCTATATTCATCCTTTGTTATTTGTCCTACTTTCCATTTTTATAGGACTCCTTTTTTATTCTTAGAAGATGCAAGATCTCTTGGTTGATCCAAGCTGGTCTTTTGCCATATTTTCTATCTTTCCTACACAGTGGAATAGCTTACTTTTGGGCCCTTAACAATGTCCCTTTGAAAAACTGCCAACTCTCTTCAGTTGTTTTTCCCCTCGGTCTTGCTTCCCATGGGACCTTACCTACCAGCTCTCTGAGCTTACCAAAATCTGCCTTCCTGAAATCCGTTGCCTCTATTTTGCTGTTCTCCCTTCTACTATACCTTAGAATTGTGAACTCTATGATTTCATGATCACTTTCACCCAAGCTGCCTCCCACTTTCAAATTCTCAACCCGTTCCTCCCTATTTGTTAAAATCAAATCTAGAGCAGCCTCCCCCAGTAGCTTTTTCAACCTTCTGAAATAAAAAGTTGTCTCCAATGCCGTACAAGAACTTATTGGATAGTCTGTGCCCCGCTGTGTTAGTTTCCCAACATATATCTGGATAGTTGAAGTCCCCCATCACCACCAAATCCTGCGCTTTGGATGATTTTGTTAGTTGTTTAAAAAAAGCCTCATCTGCTTCTTCCAGCTGGGTAGGTGGCCTGTAGTAGACTCCTAGCATGACATCACCCTTGTTTATTACCCTTTAGCCTAATCCAGAGACTCTCAACACGTCCGTCTCCTACGTCCATCTCCACCTCAGTCCATGTGTGTACTTTTTTAAGATATAAGGCAACACCTCCTCCCTTTTTCCCCACCTGTCCTTCCTAAGTAAGTTGTACTCTTCTATAGCAACATTCCAATCGTGTATTATCCCACCAAGTCTCTGGGATGCCAACGATGTCATAGTTGTATTTATTTATTAGCACTTCCAGTTCTTCCTGCTTATTCCCCATGCTTCTTGCATTTGTATATAGGCATCTAAGATCCTGATTTGATCTTGCCTCCCAGTTCTGCCTTGTCCCTCCTTTCTCTTTGCTACTATAGCCCACGCTCCCTCCCCTTTCCGACCCAACCAGGGCTCCATGTTCTCCACGTACCCGTGGGCTTTGGTCACCTGTGTCCCCGCCTAACAAGCGCACGCCGGTAGTGCAGGTGAGATATGCCTCCCGGTGAAATAAGCGTGTATGCTGGCAGTGACAGTGAAATGCCCATGTAACGAGTGTGTGCGCCCGACAGTGCAGGTGAGACGTGCATCCCTGTGTAACGAGCGTGCACACCGGGCTGCTTTCCAAACCTCAGATCAGTCTCTTCCCTGGGTCCAGGCAGCACCTCTGAACCCCACAGTGCCAGGGTACAGTACTGGCCCATGGCACCACTTACGCTGTGAGCCCTGCCTTGTTCACTAGGCTGGCTGCCGCCTGTAGTGGCTTGAATGTACAAAGCACTAGGTGTGCGCTGGGGACCGATCCCATGGGAGTGGTCAGAGGGGGATGGATCAGGGACCTGGTGCTGACTACATGCCTGCTCGCAAACTGCAACAGGGAGGGGGGGGTAGCCAGGAGCCCCTCCCTCCAGTGGAGGACAGGCCCCTCTCAGCCCCCCACGCCCCACATGACCACCTCAGCCCCCTTCCCTTGGACTTACAGGCCACTTCCCTTCTGCGGAGCTGCTCCGTCTCCTCCTGCGTTATTGCCATCAGCTGGTCCATCCTCATTCTAGGAAAAACGCAGGTCCACTCAGCCCCTGCTTCCTCCCAGCCAGCCAGCCAGCCAGCCACAGCTGGGCGTGGACGGCTGAGGTTCCAGCCGGGATCCAACCCTGAGTGAGGGGCCAAGAGGAGGCCTGCAGAGAACTCCAGCCACAGCAGGGCTGGCCGGCCCCCCCAGGGAGTAAGAAATAAATGAGACAAGAGAACTTTATGACCCCTCTAGTCCTCTCCCTACCTGGTAGCCCCCCTTCTGCTTCCTGTTCTCGGGTCCCTCCCCCTCCCCTGCCCAGGGCCCTGCCTCACCACGCACATCAATGGCGCTGCATGGACAAGGGCGGGGCTGATCAACGGCCCTGCGGCGCCTTGGGTCCTGAGAGGAGACGCCCTGAACCGCACATTAGGGCTGCAGGAGACTGCGGGCACCACCTCTTTGTGGGGGAGAGGAGAGGTCCGGTGCCCCCCTGGAGTTAGACTGGACCAAACAGAGGCCATCTAGCTGGGTGCCCGGGCTCTGCCAGCACCAGAGCCTCCGAGGGGGGCGCAGACAGGGGATACCCTGCCCCACACTAGGTCTCATCCTGACCCTGCATAGCGAGGCACCATTTCCTCTCCCCTCAGCATCGCCCACGGCCCGCTGGGTCCCTGGCCAGCAGCCACACCATGTATGCGAAGGGCAGAGCTGGTGCTTCGCCAGGAACCAGGCCGAGATCCAGCAAACTCATGGCACACAGGCCCCGCCAGGCACCTCCGTGCTCCCAAAGCTGGGCTCCGAGGCCTGGCCTAGAGGTGAAGGATCCCCCCTGGCTGGCCCTAGGCAAGGCACTCACCTCTCGTTCTCCAGGGATTTCAACATTTCAGAGCTTTGCTTCTGCCTAGAGAGAGAAAACAGAAGGTTTTCACTGCAGCGCAGCCCCCCTTCTCTCCAGGTCACATGCTGCTACCCCCACCCACCGCATGGCCACTCTCCCTGCTAGTGCTGCAGCTGGGGTAGAGAGACCCCCTGGCTGGCCCTAGGCAAGGCACTCACCTCTCGTTCTCCAGGGATTTCAACATTTCAGAGCTTTGCTTCTGCCTAGAGAGAGAAAACAGAAGGTTTTCACTGCAGCGCAGCCCCCCTTCTCTCCAGGTCACATGCTGCTACCCCCACCCACCGCATGGCCACTCTCCCTGCTAGTGCTGCAGCTGGGGTAGAGAGAGGAGCAGCCTGGGGGGGGAAAGCCAGGCTGCCTCTAGGCGGCTCTTCCCCCCCGACCTCCGAGGCCCCCCAAGACGAGCACAGAGGAGCAGAGCAGGGTTCCTGCCTGGCGCCCATCTGCCCAGGGCGTGGGTGCGGCGGGACGCTGCTAAAGGGGGATGTGCTGGGAATTCTGGGCTAAACATTTACGATTTGCAAAATGTTTTGGGCCACCCTGGCTACACAGGGGCGACGTGCTGCCCCCCAGTGGCTGGCCCCAGGGACAACAGCCGCCTGCAGCCGGGTCGCACCTTGCAGACCTGAGTTCAGCTTTGGGCCAGCAGCGCATTGCGCCTCTGAAAACCTCGCTGACGCCAGAGAAGACACAGGACTGGGCAGAGAGCCCCAAGTTCAGCTCCCCCTCCACTGGGCCCAAGGCGGCTCGCTGGGTTCCAGGCCAGTGACACTACGGGCAGATACGGCACAGCGGGGGATCACCAGGAAGCGCGGACAAGGCCTTGGGCACGCTGGCTAGGTTCACCCACGGGCTGAGGGCAGAAGGTGCCTGCCGTTAAGGATTCACAGCACGGAGGGGGGCTCCAGCTTCCGCCCTGCCCCCCACGGCATTCCAGGGGTTCACCTCACTGCGAGGCCATCTCCGTGCTGCTTCGGGAGTCTGACTGTGGGAAGAGCTCAGAGGTCAGGCAAAATGGGACCCAGAGGGGCAGAGCTGATGGCCAGGCACCCGGAGAGGAGGCCCACCTCTGATTCTCCTCCAGCAGCCTCTGGAATTGTCAGCTGCTCCAGCAGCTTCAGATGCTCGCTCTCCAGCTGCTGCTGGTGCTTTGTCAGACCCTTCTCCAGCCTCACCTGCTCCTGTGGCCGAGGGAAAAGGGAAACGAGAGGGGAGGAATGGCAGTGCCCAGCCGGGCCTTGCCCTCAGCCCAGGAGACGGCGGACAAGGAGCCGGCCCAGCGCTTTCACCCACTGACACTGCTAGGCCGCGTCTCGCCCAGCGCAGGCTGCGCAGGCCTGTCCCCGAGAGACCCTCCGGAGGAGAAACTGGGAATCCAAATGGCAGAGCTGAGGGGACGCTGTCAGTGCTGCTCTGGGTGGGGCCCACAGGAAATGCCTCTTCTGAAAGGGCGCAGAGGGACAAGGGGCGAAGGGCAGCCCTGGCCAAGTGCAGGCCTCAGGCCCTGACGAACCTTCTTCACCGTCTGCAGAATCTCCTCCTTCTGGCTGCTGCTCTGCTGCACGAGCTGAGCGTGCTCCCTCTGCCCCACGTCCAGGCGGCGCTCAAACTCCAGCTTCTCTAGCATCTTCTCTTCCTGCCAGAGGAACGAGACGCAGAGTGGGGGCCGGGCTCAGCAGCCTGCAGGCTGTCCCGTGCCAACCCGGGCCCAGGCCGAACAGAACAGAACCCCCGCAGTGGGACCCCAATGGGACGCCCAGGCAAAACCAGCCAGGCAGCTGCAGAGCTCACCTAGGAAAACCCAGCGAGTCCCACACAGGAACCCAGACAGCTGCAGGAGGAAACTGGTTCCAGCTGCCATGGAATCAGCGTTTCAGCATGGCCAGGAAGCCATTTCACCTCAGCGAGCGCCCCTCTTCCCAGGCAAGGGAAACCCTGAACGCCAGTGGAGAAACCACCAGCCACAGAGCGAGTGGATCAGAACCCGGTCTGAGCGGAGGGACAGAGGGAGCGGCTGTCAGAGCTCAGCAGTGCTGACAACACTCCTGGAGCCGGCCTAGCAGCGCGCGCAGGCGCAAGAAAGAAAAGCCTCAGAGAACGCTCATGATCCCATCGGCAGGTGGTGTTAGTCTCTGAGGTCCTGCCAGGCTATTGGCTGCTTTTAAAGTTTTTGCAGGAAATAAAGTGAGATTTCCCAGGGAAAAATGCAGCCGTCGATGCCTCAGGGGAGAGAATCCCAGAGCCGGCGCCTCCAGGAGCAGTCCCAGCCAGAGGAGAGGCAGTGCCAGGCCAACACATCAGCATTCGGCTCGCAGCAAAGACCCTGGACATTTCAGCTGCATGGGCAAAGGAGCAGAGCAGCAGCCTGCTGCAGGACTGGCTGGGGGGCACAGCCGGCTGGGGGGGGGGG